TATATATATATGTATATATTCAAAGAAATGAAATTACCAAAATACCTTTGAATCTTGTAAGGGTATTCTCATTATTTTTTTATACTTATACAAATGTGTGATGGTGAGAAGTATGGACACCCCAAATTTGAGCTTAATTTGATGTACTGGAAAATAATAATAATTAAAATACACTATGTGCTTTGAAAAAGTGGAACTTGAGTTAAAATATCAATTATAGGGGACTATTTTTTAATTTGAAGAACAAAATAGGATTTTATGTAAATTTTCCTAATCAATATGTTATGTAGATCCCCTACAATATACATTGAAACACAACCCCTTTGAATCTTCACCATGCACACATCATTATTCAAAAAGCTTCAACAATATCTGGGTATGGATTTGACTGCATGTCCTTCTAATCTAAAGTACAAAATATTAAGTCAAAGGTGATAGTTGGTGTCACTAGGCCTAATTTATTGGTTCGGAATCATTTTACTAGTTTATGATGATTTATGCTAGCATGGGTCTGGAACTCCTTTCACTTAAAATCTTAACTTTCAAAAAATCATTCTGGGAATTCCAAAATGCAGCCACCCCTCTAGAATTATCTTGCAAGCTCCAGTACTTTCTCGAGAATTTCTTTGTTTGGAGAGAACTTATCTCTCTCCTAGAAATGCTTTAGCATTTCAAACCATTCACAAATAAGGGCTTAACCTTAATGATCACTTAGGAGAATCAAAATTGCAAACATGCACACCAGACAGAAGATCTCGGGTTTCAACATAGCTAGAGTCCTCATCCTGGGGGGGGGGGGGGGGCGGAGGGTTTGATGATCTATCATCTCAGTCCCTTCTAATAACTTCTCAAGAACAAGAGGATAAGGGTTAACATCTGAACTTCAATCAAAATTGAATTTGAGAGATCCAGTGAAAGGGGTTCACACTACATGATGAATCTAATTTTCTGTCACATCATACCTCAAAGAAATTTCATCTTATTTTATTGAAAAGTGATTACAGTAGAAGGATAACTGTGAAGGGATTAAACAGCTTATAAGAAGGTGTAGTTGATTTTACTAGAAACAAGACTGGTGAGTGTATTAGTGATTGTATGATTTGTATCAAACTGTTTGAGTATTGCCGTAATCCAAACCACTAGATGGGATCCAATCTGATGCTTTAATCAGAGGTCTAGGGCCAATGGATAATCACAATTAGTAAAAAGGAAACCAAGCATTTGTTAAGGACTGAATTACTAACGTGCACATGCAAACAGGTATAAGTGCTCAACAAAATATCAACAAGGACAGAATACAATATAATAAGCATCAGCATCATGCTCTTATGTTCATAGAAATGAAGAAACAACCACAACACTTTCAGTTTCACAATACAATTACAAAGTCAAATCAAGCAAGCATGGGATCTTTTTTTTCTTCCCTTTATTTTATACATTTGAATAAGCAAGTGGATATGAAAAGGGTCCTTCATACCGACAAGTTTCTGAGAGAGATGGACAGTCATCTAGGAAAAGTTGCTCTAAAACCTTTTCAATTAGTCCTTCAGTGGAAACCATAACATTTCTAGGAACATCATGGCATGCCAAGTTTGCCATGATTCCCAAGAATATCTCCTGCCATAAAACCATTATTTATAATATTTTAATTAATTTTTGTATCCCACAATACAATAAAAGGACAACAATAACGCGTGACATCAAAATAAAATAAGTCATGAAAGTAGATGATGTGATTGTCAGAAGGAAAAACTAGTACAAAAATAAACCAAAGCCAAACTTATTCTTTCAAAGGACCAATAAATATCTCAAACTGAGGTTAAGCTTCAAAGGAAATAAATTTGTTGTAATTGTCATTGTTTATTTTTATCATTCCATTTCTCTAGTTGCTGGAGGTTAATTATATAAAAATATCATTTACCTGGAAAACTATGCCATTTTTTCGCTCAGGGAAATCAGCCAAAATGCCTCATGCATATAATCATATGATCTGTCTTGGCATCACTTCATGACGGAACCACAATTGAAGCATAATAATGTTCATAAGATAGGGAGAAGTTCTTGTTGCAAAGGAGAGGACTTTACCCCAGTCAACCTGATGTTTAAGTCAGTAATTGGCTCTCTTTCTTATTTCTAATTATTACTTTCAGGAGAAAAAAAAGGAGTTGTGTAAGGAATGGGGTTGAGGTCAAGGTGGTAGCATCACCTATGACTCATCTACCAGTCTCGATTTCCATTCCTACCAATGTTTACCCCTTTCAAAAAAACTACTAACAGTTTCAAAAATTGCTAACACACTACAAATGGTTAACGTTCAAAAAAAAGAAGAAAGGAGTTGATGCCCATTAATTATAAAAAGATGAAAATAAGATAATGATTTTGGCAAAGTCCAAGAAAGATGAATGTAAGAAAATAATTCTAGCAAGAAAATCAAAGATTGCATGTGATTCAATAGGCACTGAAGATGAACAAAGCATCGGATAATACTATAATTGTGCAGCAATATTTTTTATGCCATGCTGTGCATTAAGAAATATGCGACCTGTTGACCTGTCATAGTATTCAACAAGATGAGATAAGAACAAAGGTGGCCAAATAATTCATGAAAAATCACCATAGACCAACAGAACTCGCAAAATAAATAAGCCACTGGGAGTGGGTAGTGATGGAAAACTATATATCATCAATGTGAAAAGTAAACTTCAATAAACACAGAGATAACAATGTAGAAACATAACAAAAGCTTCAATACCCAATCGAACAATAATGCTTTGTAAAAGAGGTCTTACTGTCATTCTGGCAGAAGTGGCAACACTAAGACTCGCCAAAAGCACATCGACCAAGAGATTTTGGACCTGTTGAATATTTACAAGTTGTCAACCATAACAATATCAATATTTCGTTGCAACTAACTATTACTATAAGAATTCAAGCAAACTTAAAAGCTTGATCGCAAGTCCCAAATTAGTATTCGTTTTGATATGAAGATAACTGCAAGGAGTGAAAAGATGCTACACTAAAATTAAATTTTCCGACTCCATATCTATTAAACTAAGGTGCAATATAGCTGTGTATTTTCACTATATAGGAAAATTTTCATACTTCTAAGAAGCAACAGGTAGGTGCTCAATCTTGTTGACTAAAAATCAAGGTGATCTAACTAGGAAATGTCGTAGGATTCGATTGACACAAACTTGTGAATGCTCAGAATGCATGGTTGTAAGAGAGAGAGGGAGAGAGAGAGAGAGAGAGAGAGAGAGAGAATACAAAACTTGAGTACAGAACATATAAAAAATTACACCAAAAAATTAAGACACGTTCCACCATTTAACATCCATTTTTATAATAGCATAATCAATAATTACTCATTGAATAATTAACTCCTCATAAAATACATACAAACATACATCCTCAATGGTAAAAGTCAACCCATCACGAATAATGGGTTATAGTCTACTCCAGAAACTAGATCATAGTTGTTTGGAGCGGGGATGGGATGGGAGCGAAAGCAGGATAAGGAGAGTGGGATCCTGATAGGCTAGAAGCTCCCTACGGTCGGGATTGCTATATGTACACCTTGAATTTTAGGGATCTCGAAACCAACATATTGGGGTGCTGGATCCCAACTTTTTGGGATCACATAATAAATTCTATTGGTCCGAGACCTATCTGCTAAAAGCATCTCTTTTAGTCTTTTCTCTTTAAAAAATATATAGAAAATGATTTTGCAACATAATTACTTTTTTTTTTTTTAAGGCATATGCACTTGAGACTTGTTTCCTTGTAGAAAATTAATCTAACATAAGAGAGATTTATATTGACTGATCCCAAAGGGAACGGGATCGTGTTACCCCCATATGGGAGCGAGATCCACCCAAGGTCCATTCACAATGCCATCAATATATGGAATCTGGAGATGCATTTAGAGGATGAGGACATCGTCTACAGTTTCTGTGACAATTAAGGTCCAATGAAGGGTCACTAGATCCTTCTGTGAAAATGATATTACCATAAATATAGCTCATTTTCATGGAACTTTCCTTTTATATAATGAAATGTTTCTTCTGTGCATGAGTAAGAAAACTGTTTTTCAGTGGACACAAATGATTAACATGATTACTTATCCTCAATGAACCAATGAATCATTCATTTGGGAAACCATATAACAAGTTTTTTATCGCTAAGCAACCTCTATATCCGTTGAGATGTCGTAAGCATGGATGTTGAGCGCATTATACAAGCAACAGAAAACAAGCATTATCACAAAATAATGATAATTCAAGTCCTTTAAACTATAAGTTCATTTCATAAGAAACAAATTATAAACAATAGCATTCTTCAAAGAGTGAGGAACCATCCTGTGCAATATTTCAAGAAGCAACACAAAAGTAAAAAGATGCATGAGGGATGAGTTATAAGAACAAATGCTCGATCATTAGAGGTTGGAAGATTGACAACTGCGAAACTTGACAAGAAACATATTGAACTACCATCAATTCAGCATGAGCTTGGTTAGCAGCAAGGTCCCATAAAATGCACCCATATTCCTCCCACGAGTCCTCCGTTGCCGCTGGCACTGGATACTTTAAGCCATCATGTTGCATCTCTGTAGGCTCATTTTGTTCAACTTCATGCTTGTTTCCATCATCAACTGCAACAACCTTATCAAAATGACAAACCATTTATTGAACATTTTAATGACCTTATTTAGAGTTTCATAATTAGAGTACCATTCATGGAGTGATAACTCTGTGGCTCTTCATTGGAGTTCTGGTGAGTGCTTAATCCCCGAGACCCATTTTTAAGCCTTTTGTCTTGTGGCAAAAGTTGTCGTATAAGATATATTATGTAGCTGGGATCTATAGTAGTTGATACGTCCAGCTGCTGCATAATAAGAGAAGATCAAATTTATCACGTGAGGGAGATAATAGAAAAGCACCATAGTTACCGCATGATCAAAGCAACCCAAAAAAGAGGAACAATGCTACCTGGCCATTGCATTGGCAAAATGTCAACAAACTCAATCCTTAAAAGCCAAATAATAGGTGAAAATTAGTGACAATGTAAGATTATTTTTTAAATAAGCCTTGTAAGATAAGCAATCATGAGAGTTGCAACTTTGCAGTAATCAACAGAGACAAAGTTATGTTGCAATTAGAAATTTCATGTGGAGATGTGAACAAATTCAAAACTTCATGAGAATCCTACAGTCAGTGATGTGGAAGTAATGATCAACAATAAGATGGAATCATAGCTATCTCACTCAGAAGTCAGGGCCATCAACAACAAGAATGAAATTTGAATCTCACTAGTTCATATTTGGGATTTAATTCAAGTGCTTTTGGACTAGTGTTACCCCGAAAATCCACATGGAGACTGGTGTTGCGTGTGCGACACATGCTGACACTTGCAGTCTTGGACATTTGTCAACACTTCACGGTGTGGCCAGAACACTTGAACTTTCGTGTTGAATGATATCACTAATTTTTAGTATGGTATCGACATTTCTAATATAAATGTTTTGTATAATAATTTGCATTTTAATATTATAAAATGTTTAAAGCTTTATGTAGCAGAGTGGATTTTATTCTAAAGTAGATCTGTTGTACTCGTGTTAAATCCTATGGTTTGCGAACCTTTTTCCCTCCTTAATTTTGAATACATGTAAAAGTATAAACATGCTCATTGTAAGAAACAAACCCCTTCCATATCCATATTCGCCATAGCGTCATGACTACCATCTCACTATTTGACTATCACATGCTGCATGCAATAAATGGGAAAACTAAATTATATAAGAAACATAATATTCTATTAATTGTAGAAAATGCTTACAAGGGGATTTGAACTTCTATCTCCTCATGGTGTAACCTTACTGCCATAAGGTTTATTGCCTCTATGACACACATCGCATCTAGGAGAGATGAGGACAAAATTGACATTTTTAATTTGTTGCATTGGACAATACTAGATGGGAAAATATATAATGAGACCATTTACCTTTGGTACAAGGTGGTCACAATTAATCTTGACCATTGGATATGATATTGGGTGGTTGCTTTTATTTCATTGACCAAGCTCAAGTTAAAAAGAAATTTTCTCGACCTTTGTAACACACCCAAGCTATCAGATTTCACATCGGATGGTTGTAAGTAATTGTGATCTCCCCCTAACAAAGGTAAATGGTCTCATTGTATATAATCCCATACTAGAATTGTTTTACTTGTTAGGGAATTTTTTTTTTATTTGTCATTCATGGATTATTTTGGGTTTTAGCTTGAAGTCAAGGGTAGAATATAGTGTTGTAGAGTACCCATGTCAAAAAGTAAATGTCGAGTAATGTTGTTTTGATTTCCCATCATCAAATAGTCAATGATGGAGAGCTCTTATACATGGGAATTTCGCTGCATGAATTTTAATGTATGGGGAAAAGGGTGTAGGGGTAGTTTAGTCATTTTCCCATTTTGTTAGGGGTATTTTGGTCATTGTCTAGGGCCCACAAATGGGTTTATATATATTAAACATTGCCAAAACAGTAGGAGTGGTTGATGATATTTTTATTCATGAATTGAAAATTCCTCTCCTACATTAGTGTAGTAGAGAGGACCTCTACTTTGTGTAGACGTGCAACCCTAGTTGGAGTAGTAGTGTGGTTGGGGCTGGAAAGGCCCCTGTTCCTTTCCATCTCTTGATGGTGATCAAGGAAGTTTTCCTCTAGTTGATCGACCATCAAGCTCGATGTATTGTTGTTGCTGAATCAATCATGGATATCTCTTTTCCGGGTGCTAGTTTTGCACCATTGGTATTAAAGCGAGGTTGGTGACCTTCATTGATTGTTAACGAAGATATGGAGCTCAGGAACGCAATAGATTGGCTGAAACTGTGCATATTCTAATGCAGTCGGTGGCCTTACTTATGTAAGATCGAAAAAAGAGGAGATATGCCTTGAATGAGAGAAGATCCCTGGTTATGGATCCCATACATGGTGGCTTGTTTAGTGAGCAATGTGATTTGAAGGCTGAGATTACATTGCTTGGATCTGATTCGTGATCTGATTCTAGTGACGGCCATGGTGAACAAAGGCCCCAAATCCCCGACAAAGATGCGAATCGGATGATGATCAGGTAGCGATCCATGAGGAGTAGACGTACATGACGCCATGATGGTAGATTATTACAGAAGGAGTTCTTGGAATGGTTGAGTGCACGGGATAGATTCTTTGAATGGAAAGAGTTATCTAATTCAAAGAACATAAAGTTAGTTGCGATTAAGCTTCAGGGACTTGCATCCGTTTGGTGGGATTGCGAAAGGGAAAAGACGAGATTCAATATTGGATTATAATGAGGGCGAAATTGTACGAGCAATTTCTTCCTCCAAACTTTGCACAAACTATGTACAAACAGTTCCATCAATTGCAGCATGGTTTGCGACTTGTTTGTAAGTACATAGAGAATTTCCATCATTTGTCACAGGGTTGCCTGAGAAGGAGGACCAGCGAGAAGAAGAGGTATATCGGGGTTTACAAGTTCAAATCCAAGATGAACTCTCCTTACAACACTTGCCCTGAGAGACAAATAAAAGTTGTTGGTTTGAAGCCTGGAGTGAGAATGTCATAGCCCAAGAGGGTGACGCCTCCAACCTAGGGAGTTGCTGGCCCGAGTAAGGAACAAGTTTTGGGTGATCGGTCGAGGGATGTACACGTGTACAACACTCGATTGTGTAACTTTACAAATAAGAAATCAGGTGTTTGACATTTTCAATGTAATGAATGGGCCATAGGATAACAGAGTGCCCAATGGATGCTGCCCGGCAGCATCCTAATCTTGTCGAAGACGAGGAAGAGGGTGAGATAGAAGAGGTGGCAGTCAGGGGGCCAAAAAGGCTCAATGTGGGTGCATCACCCCGATGCACTCAAGAAATACAATAGATATCAAACAATAGGATAATGCATGGAAAAAATATGGCGGTGATTTATGTTATAGAAGGTATTCAATTTATTTATTAACTCCAATATTATCAGTTGTCAGAGACTCTGAATCCCCTGATAGAAGACATTAGAAAGTAGAAACTAGAAACTTGATAAAGAAGTTGTTAGAGGACATTATATTATCATAATTCATAAACATTCAAAAACCATAATCGCAAATTCAGAAGTGCAAACTTTAAAGTTACAAACTCCAAAGCAAAGATACATAAAAACACTGTCTAATTTTTAATCTCCTCGATAGCTTGTAGGCATGCTTTGACATTCTCAATAATTACCAGTTAAGTGTTCTTTTTATTGGAAAATATACCCCATAACAGTATTTTTGCAAAGAGTACAGATAACACAATTTCGATCTTTTAGATTTTTGAGCTTCGCATATTTCCAAGACGGATCCTTGTTACTCGAAGATTGTGAAAAAGACATTACCCCATAAAGAAAAGTGTTAAGAAATCAAAATTAACCCATTAATTGAAAACTTTTTTGATATCTTCTCGACTTGGTGAAAGATATGTACGAGGGAGCGCTAACTAGTGTGCAAATAACTAGTGGCGAGACGAGTGAGGTTTTAGTGACGATAAGTCTACACCAAGGGTCAGTGTTAAGCCCATACCTCTCTATCATAGTTATGGACGACTTAATTAGGCACCTACAAGATAGGGTACCACGGCATATGTTGTTTGCAAACGACATAATTTTATTTGATAAGACCCCAAGCAACATCAACATAAAGTTAGAACTTTGGAAGGATGCTCTAAAATTTAAAGATTTTAAAATTAGCCGAACTAAGACAAAGTATATGAAAATGCAAATTTAGTAATAATAGGAGTAGAGAGGAGGAAGTACTTAATATTGATGGCCAAGAAATACCAAAAGAGTGCACTTTCGATATCTTGGGTCAATAATCCAGGAAAATAGAGGGATTGAAGAAGGTAGGTGTCGCACATAGAATTAGATCTGGGTGGACGAGGTGGAGATATGCATTTGGAGTTTTTTTGTGATTGTTGCATACTAATGAAGCTGAAGAGGAATTCTATAGGACTACTATGAGACCAGCTTTGCTTTATGGAGTGAAATGTTGGGCGGTCAATAAACATCATACCCATAATATGAGTGTCGCTGAGATGAGGATGTTGAGATGGATGAGTGACAAGACAAGAAAGGGATAGAATTCGAAATGAATATATTCGGGAGAACTTAGGTGTGGCTCCAATAGGTGATAAGATGAAAGAAAGTAAACTTATGTGGGCTAACATGTGCAGTAGAGACCCAGTAAAACACCTATTAGGAAGTGCGAGTTCGTTCAAATGGAATGCTCAAAAAGCGTATGGGGGTAGGCCACAGGGACATGGTTGTAAGTAGTGCGAAAAAATACGGCAACTTATGGCCTCACTGAGGGTATGACCCTTGATAGAGCAGAATGGCGAACTAGGATTCGTGTAGCTAATTACAAATAGTTGGAAAAAGGCTATGATGATAATGATGACGATCTCGACCCTTGAAACCCTCAACATGTTTATGAATCAATGCTTAAACTTCTTCAAAACAAAGCCTAAGCTAATCCCTATCGACAACCCAACCACCAACGAAAGAAATGCAATGATTTTGTGGAAACAAATATTTCTGTCCAAAATTATTTTATCTTTTCTTGATCCGAAAACGGCCATGAATGGGGCAACATTTTGCGTTTGGGAGGGTTTAGTACCTCCCATTACCCTTTCCCACCCTTTTTGGGCAGGAAATTGACCAAATTGCCCATGCTGGTCGGCGCATAGCGCATGCGCTTGCATTTTAAAACGATGATGGGGTTCTTGCAACATAGAAACTTTGGTGCATGAAGGTTGCATGCAAACAGATCTAATTTATTGGAATGAGGGTGTAGGGGTAGTTAGTCATTAGGAAGCTACTAACAAGCGGTATTAAGATACTGAAGGAGCACGAGAATCTTATATAACTCCCTCCCTCTTTGTCGAGTGGACCGTTGCCCCCTTCACACTCTCCTCGTCGGGGGGATTGGATATTAGTTTTCACATTTTGTTAGGGGTATTTTTGTCATTGTCTAGACACTAATGAGTTCATATATACATTGTTGTAATAGTATGTGTGGTGTGGTTGATGATAATAAAAATGAAAATTCCCCTCCTACATTGTATAGTAGAGAAGACCCAGGTGCAGCCTTACATGGAGTAGTGGTATGGTTAGGGCTAGAACCCTCTTGACAATGATGAAGGAAGTTTTTCCTCTAGTTGATCGACCAATGTGTTTGATGTGTCTTTGTTATTGAATTGGTCTTGAATCTCTCCTTCCCGGATGCTGGTTTTGCACCACTTGCCATCCATGACTTGTGTTGTAAAAGGGAAAACTATATTTTATATTATAAAAATACAATATTTTATTCTTAAAAACATAAATATATGGACATTTCTATCCTACTAGCTTTTTAAGTCAACATACTAGACACCTTTTATTTTTGGATAGTTCAGTGGCAAAAATTAAACTTGAGATGTAGTGCTGACAATGTCAACTGCTAACTTGTCCAGCCCAATCACGTTACTACATACTAGACACTGTCACACTGTGACACTTATAGACACCAATATCCGTGTCAATATCCATGTAACGCTGTTTTGGATGGCCAACTTCTAGAGGGCATATCTTTTCACCCTTAGCTCAGATCTTTTGTTATTATCCCATTCTAGAAAGGACAATAGGAGCTCTACAAACAATTGCCAATTTTGCTTGAATGCCTCTAAAGGCCTGAATGTTGAGTCCGAAGTTTAAAACGTGTAGTTAAGGTTACTTTTGAGCATTTCCACATCAAGAACTATTTATTCTTTTTTAATGTCTTTCTTTTTATCGATAACCTAGATTTGATGTTCGTAATGGACGTCTAGATTACATTTAGGTTAGGGTTGATCTATAAATAGTTTGTGATGTATGGGGGAAGTCAATTTTCAGGGTTTTATGCTTTAGGGTTTCTTGTTTCAAGCGAAGATTGGCTTGTAGGCCCCCTTTTTTGTTTTAAGCAACACAATTGGTTTTCTTGGTTTCTTTCCTTTGAGATTCCATGTTACATCATCTGATACATGGTCAATTGCCAAAGTTCCTTAGCCACTTGACCTGTGTGCGATAGCAGTTAGAGAAGCTCAAGGAGGCCACTACGCTGGGGGTTCTGAACTACGAGGGAGGATTTCGATGGACTATTGAGGCAATTCTATGAACTAGTGCATGAAGTGGGTCAAGCTTGTTCCAAGCAGAGCTCGGTCATTCATGACAGTGATGGATCTGAATCCACAAAGGAAACCCCTCTCCATAACCAGGAAAGGGATGAAGCTAGGCCTCCTAACCTCCAAACTAGGGGAGGGATACTGATCTCTCTCTCGAGGGACAGCTGGTGCAAGCTCTGGAAACGGTAGATAGAGGCATTTGAGTCAACATGTGTGCATTATGGCAAACAACTAATCAAAGTCGTAAACATGGCTCATCTTCACAACATAGAAAAAGCTATTGATGATGCGGAGGCGCTAGCCAAGCACCTCCAATAGGTCCATAAGTAGGCGTGAGAGAAGTTGCATAAGAGCTACACAAGATATAAGGATGAGGTCGACCAACACCAACGAGAAAAGGAGTTTAACACTGGTGATTTAGTAATGGCATACTTAGAGTGAGAGCACTTTCCAATCAGCACCTATTATAAGCTAAATACAAGAAGATCAACCCCTGTTAGGTGCTCCAAAAGATAGACAATAGCTTCCAAAGGAATATGACATATCCCCTGTCTTTGATGTTGCCGATCTTTGTGAATACCATGGGGCATCAGGTGGTATAAAGAAGCAGAATGGGAGTCTTGGTTGCCTCAGGGACCTGCCGAGGACGTTCATGAGGTTTTGGATATTCGGACCATCACCACCAGGCGTGCATCCTACAACCAGTACCTAGTCCAATGGAAGGGTAAAAAAACTCGGGATCAAGTTCTCAAAGGCCAGGGGAGATTGATACACGTGATTTTGGATGTTGAACTTTCGGAGGGCAAAATTTTTCCCTCCCGGCTCAAATTTTCCACTATTACCCCATTTCAAAAACGGTAACATGGGTTGTACAATAGCCAAATTCGCTTCATCGGTTTGGCCAACGAATCGGGCTGAAAAATTCCTTTAAAGGCCCGAATATCGAGCCTGAATTTTATAGCATGTTGCCAGGTTGTTAGGGTTAGTTTGGAATTTACCACATCAAGGACTATACATTATTTATTTATTTCTTTATGTTTACGGCCTAACTTTAAGGTTCGTAATGGACAGTCGAGATAACATTTAGGTAAATGATGGTTTATCACTAGTTTGTGATGTAGGGCTGAAGTCTGTTTTGGGGGTTTTATGCTTTATGGCTTCCCGATTCAGCCAAGAGGCACCTATGGAGCATGGCTTGTAGACTCCCTTTTCTATTTCAATCACTACATCAGTTTTCTTCTCTTCTTTACTTTAGTGTTCCATCTTACACCAGGATCCAGATCAACTAAACCCCTTATAGCTATCAATCAACAAGCTAACCCATTGCGTTAACTCTACGAGGTTGATATCACCTACAATTTCAGGAGACATGAAGGAATTATCCTTCTCAGATATGTTTTAACCATGAAAGGAGCAATTACACATCGATGAAACAAAGAATCGAAGAACGAATTTCCCAATGACTAACCTAGCTCCCAAGTTACAGAAGAACAGTGCCTGCATCTTCAGGCAACAATTGCTCCTCGCTCCCTCAATATACAATAGAGACAACCATGCAACACAAATTTGAATGATGAAAAAGAGCACCTATCATATCCATAGTCAGAAGTTTTAATCACGGGGTTATCCCAAAAAGAAAAATGAGACGGGAAATGGGGGCATCAAAATGAAGGGTTGATGGATAATAAGCAAATTAAAGAACACCATAACATATCAAAGAAAAGGACATAGGAAAATACAGCATCAATAAGACGAAGAAACAAAAAGATATATAAAGAGAGATAGAAGATAGCTATATAGAACATCAAGAGACGAAGAGATGAAAAGAGAAAACAAGCATTGGAGCATTGAAGATTAAGGAATGACCTCAGAAGGAGGTGGGGACGGAATATGGGCTCCGCGCTCTGTGTTTTCTTCCATTTCGGTGAATTTCGACTGAGGAAAGAGAGCTTCTCTCACTGAAAAACACAATTTCTTGCGGTGGAACGCGAGAGCTCAGTCTATTACATAGCGGGAAGGGGCACTCTTTAAAATCTCAGCTCCAGCTATGGACGCGGTTTGTAGAGACGACTACTTGCACCATGTTCCAGCGGGATCACATACTGTCCATATACTCCTACTTGGGAGAATTTACTTAATATAAATTTTTAGGAAAGTTTGAATTTGATGGTTTTTAGTGCAAAAATCTTGCCTTTAAAAAATTGGACGATTTCTGTTCATTCTTGAGAAATATAATTGCATCCTAATAAATTTAATGAAAAATTTCCTAATTATATCCCCTATGCACTTAAGAATGATGTCTCAAGTTTGAATCAAGAACCTTTAATTTTGCAAGAATGAGATCGGAGTGTTGGAAAATTTAAAATTTAATTTTTTTAATTATTAAGTAGTTCTCAAAATTTTATATTGTGAAATCCTCCTAAACAGGTCTTCCAATCAACTGAATAGAACTACACTATGCTTGCTTGGATTGAAAAGGTTACATTTTTAAACATACCCAAAATCTTAAAATTATTTTAAAATTGGATTTTATACCAAGGAGTCAATAGATAGTATGTTCCCACGAGAGTATAAAATCTTTTGGCTAGGGAAGTATCTCGCGTGGACCCATGCTTGCCTTCCGGAAGCTGAGTTCCGTTTAAAATTGAAAGATTGCTCTCTGCTCGCTCACTACCTCTCGCTCTCGCATCAAGGAGTCCTGCTTCTTGCTCTTGACGGCAGGATACCGGGTACGCCGTCTTCCTTGGTCTTGGTCTTGGTCTTGGTCTTTTTCTCTCTAGAATTTTTGGCACTCGTTTTACTCTGCCTGTTATCGTGGGCGAGTTTTTGGATATTATTGAGCGTTTTGGTCTCTGTCTAGAGCTTTAAGATGATCTTGGTATCTGTCTTTACAATTTGGTGTGAGCTTGTTGGTATGCTGTAGAGAATAATGAAATTCAATAGGGTTTTGCTGTTAAAGAGATATAATGTTGTAGAGAATATCAATACCCAATTAACAGGGTCTTTTCTTTTCTTCTTTCTTATTCCTAGAATTGGTGGTTTTTTTGTTTTTGTTTTTGTTTTTATGGCGTTATTTATAGCCGATTTTTCGTGTGATTTGTGGTTTTTTGACTGATCTTTAGTTGGATCAAATAGGTGGTTTTGTTCCTTTTTATTTTCTTTTCTTTTTTGTTCCTTTTCTCATTTGATATAGTTTTTACTTGGAACAATACACAAAAAATACACAAAAAATATTCATCAAAAAATGAATATTCAGAGACTAATCTATCTCGATGTTTCTTAATTTGACATGGACCTTGATGTTGAAAGTTTGCGATGTTGATTTTACCCCTAAATGGATATTTTTTGATGTTGAGTTTTTTTAAAAAAATTTACCAATTTAAATATGCGCAGATGTCCTGGCTCTCCCTTTTCTTTTAGTTATCTTGTTAATGGCCTGCTTTTTTTGTCTTGGAGAAAATTTTATATGAAGTGAACTATGTTAAATGATTATATGGTTGAATACTGTATATTCTTTTTCTTGATGCTCTTAAGTGTATGAATGTGAAAGTTGGAAGTACCCAATAGAGGATTTCCTTTTGTTATTTTCTTTTTTTTTAAAAATATTTTTCATTGACCTTTTTCGGCCTTTGTTTTGAGATGAAGGTTTTAGTTGCATATGAGGAATCAATGTGCAAATATTAATCTCTCTTATGTTTCTCTTATTTAATTTTGGGTAATAAATGTGGAACTTTCGTGATTTTGAGTTCATTTACCTTTATGGCAAGTGATAATATGAGCAGATGGCCTGGTTTTGCCTTCATTCTTTGTTCTTTTGTTAATGGCCTAGTATTTATTTCTTAGAGGAAATTTAACGGAAATGAATCATAATAAGTGATTTTCTGGTTGATTGAAATTTATTCTTGTTTCTTTGAAGTGTATGAATTTGAAATTTGGAATTACCGGATTGAGGATTACCTTTTGGGTTAGAAGTAATTTATAATAATTCAACCTTTAACCATATTTCTTGTTTTGTCATTTCTCCCACTCTTATGCTGCTCAGCTGCATCAGTTTAGTTTGCTAAGTTGGTGGTTGTGTGAGTGAAGGGCTCATGCTCTTTCTTGATGTTTAAGTAGGTTTTGTCCACTCTTCCTATTGTTGCTTAGAGCTTCTTGATGGCATTTGGTGTTAGAGGTTTTTTGATAAACTATTTTTGGAATATATGAGCTGATTTTTTTTTTTTTTGGAAAAAATGAGATATATCAACCCATGGTGACCATTTTTGTCATTTCTTCCGCTCTTCTGCTGCTCAATTGCATCAGCTTAGTTTGCTAAGTTGGTGGGTGTGTGAGTGAAGGGCTCATGATCTTTGTTGATGTTTAGCTATATTCGTCCATTCTTGCTATTGTTGCTTAGAGCTTCTTGATTGGCATTTGGCAGTAGAGATTATTTCGATAAACTGTTTTTGGGATATATGAGTTTTGTTTTTGAAAGAATGGGATATATCGGCTGATTGTCACCTTCTTTTGTCATTTCTCCCACTCGTGTGCTGCTCAATTGCATAAGCTTAGTTTGCCAAGTTGGTGGTTGTGTGGTTGAAGGGCTCAATTAGTTTGCTTGGTCATTTTTCCCACTCTTTGCCTCTCATGTGTTGAATCCAGGGACATAAGAAATTGATACTAAAGTTGCCTCTTTCACATATAAGAAACATATCTAAGGGGAGCTAGATATTGCTCCCCTTGATTATATGGGTAGAAAACAACACGTATTCCCCTGTGTTATCCCAGCTGTTAACAATGTTTATCAAATTTGAGAATTAAAATTTTTGGTTAGGGTTTGGGCTTCAAGTGAAAGATGATATTGGAATGTCAACTGATGATGTTTGGGGACTCCTCCAATTTGTTTTAGACTGGCTAGGGCAATTAATTAATAATGTGCATTGATCCTTTCCAAACATTTATTATGTGATAGGCTTTATCAACATAAAAGTTTTAGTTATAAAGAGAGAAAAGGGAAATTAATGTTCTTAGTATAAATATTAGTGTTAAGTATCATTTCCCAGTGTTATTTCTATATTTACATTAGTGTAAACATTATTTCTCTTTATATTTCTCACTCTTAAAAAAGGTAAAACATAACAAAAAAAATAAAATCACATTACACTGATTTCGTAGAGTACATGAAATTTAGCCTAGCAAATATGAGGGTAATTATACAGGTATACTATGAACTTCTCTGAAAATTTTCTTTCATGTGCCAAACAAGACAATTGTATCTGCAGGTTGCATGTAGATACTATCCAAACATCAGAAACTTATTTTCCAGGAAATGTATTTCCCCCCCAGTCACGTATTTTTGCCATACAATGTACTTCCAGGTACCCAAACGGCCCCTTACTTGAGGAAATATAATACCGTTTCGAGGGAGAATAGTCAGTTATCCCATTGCTCATGTGAAGCCAAGGAAGCTGATACTTTAGCAAAGAGGCTGCCCATCACAATTCTTTGGTGGTTAAAATATTTCTTTCGTGATTTGGATCGTTCTTTGTAAATCATATTGGTTGTACATGTTTTGAATGTAAAGAAAAGTCACCGTTACTAGGTGGAAAAAAAAAGAAAGAAGGTCCAACTGTCTGAGAATTCGTGAATTTTTCATGGAATAGTTTTAATTTTGTGGTTGAGAACATGGAAAAGGATTTATATTGTATTTTATCCTTTTACTAATCGTTTCATTATTTATAATGTATGTATTAATTTATTTACATTATATTAATGCATTACCAATCTCATTGTAAGAAATAACTATATAGATACTATTGTTGTTTCATTTGTAGTTAATATTAACTCTGCCATTGCCGGTCCGAAGCCCGGATGAGAAAGGACGAGGGTTTTGCTAGGTTGGTAGCCATCGAAAAACCTTTACAACGTTCCTATCATGAATCTCGAGTCTTGTTCCAAAGTTTAGCACACGTTTGGAAGGGTGATTTGGTTCAAGTGGAAGACCATAAAAGGGCAAGGGGAAGGCCCCAAAGGACATGGATGGAAGTAGTGCCTTACAGAGCGGAATGGCGGAACATGATTCGTGTAGCAAGACCCCAAATATTTTGAATAAGGCTCAGATGATAGTGGTGATGATAACAATATTCTTTGTTAATATAAAGTTATTATTTAATCAAAATTTTGATAAAATTTATATGTTTTTATTTTTCAAATTCCTGTTATATTTCCGACAAAAAATGCTTGCTTGATGATGATTTCTCAATAAAGACTTGCTGAGAATATCTTGAAAACCTAAATTGTCACTAAGGTTAATGTTTGCATAATATGATAAGAAGCATGCCACAAATTTCTATGGCTCATTTGAATGCCCTGTTGGACCATTTAAATTTGCTTCAAAATTATGAGATATATTTCAACTTTTTAATTAACTATAAACTTTCTTACTTTAAAAAGCATTATTAGATCCTTACTCAGGCCTAATAAGGAAAGTTCCATACATAATAGGATTAATCCCAGATTTTTATTTTCAAATTCCTTTATTTTTTGAAAAAAAGCATAAACATAATACTTTACTCCCTCTCCCAACAAAACTATGAATTTTATTAGTTTAAAAGCAATTTACAACCTAAAATGAGGGACATTACAAATAGTTTATCCTCCCACAGTCAAGGTCTTAGTGAATAAGTTCACTAAATCCTCAAAATTATGTCAATTTTTTTTTTAATATTTTTAATAAACTCCAAGGAATATATACATGATACTTTATTTTTCATACTTCTAGTAAACACGTTTATTTGTTCTAAACTTAATTTTTTTGTCAGCTTTAAAAAACACAATTTATACTTCACCTATTATTTATAGTACCAAATGGTTTTAATGGGCATCGAGGAGTAAGGTTAAATTATATAAAATTTAAATATATTGGATGCAAGTTGAATAGTTGAATGGAAGAAGCATTAAGAAACAAGCCCTCAGGGGTTTAGAAATGAAGTTTCATCTTCCTCTCAATCTCTCTATTATTCTTTCAATGAAAGAGTAAAGAGGGTTGGATTTGTTGCAGGAGTAAGGAGAAAGGGAGAGACGGATAAGTGCAGGAAGGTATGCCCCCCTCTCTCTGCCTCTCAAATATTACTTTTATTTTCTCTTGCTTTGTTACTTGAGATACGAGGCTTTCCTGTTAAACAGTAGCAATGAATGTACTTTGATAAAGTTAACATTGAGTATGCAAATCTCAACGACCTGGATCAATGGATAGTATCAAGGTTTTGGAAACCATGGCCTTTAATCTGCGGTTAAGGTTCGGACTTTGGAGTTTGACGGTATCTTAAAAAGTTCAATTATTCATGTGGCTAGTGATCTTATGCAAAATAGCCACGATTGATAACCTGAGAGGCTTCATCTTACCCATTGTCTATTTGTTCTGTGAATCTGATGGTGAATCTTGCAGATTTATTCCACTCCTGACCTTGGAATTGGGCAAGAGAGTCGTTGGGTTCGAATATTCAAATTCCAAAATCAACATGGCATCTTCTATACTGTTGGTGTTTATGGAAAGAAAGAAATAGGTGGTCTTTCGATGGTATCACTATGGAAATCTCTAACATGAAAAGTATGATCTTAGCCATGACAGCAGAACAGGCAGCAAATCATAAAGATAGCGAGGGAATCACAGCAAATCATTTCTGATTTGAAAAAAGTGGTCGATTTTAGAATGACAAGATTGATTCCTCTACGGGATTGTTAAAATTAAACTTGGATGGAACTCGTTAGGCAATCGAGGCGGTGCAGGAATTGGTAGTATAATAAGGCATCATAGAGGTGAGAGCTTTAATTCAAGGTTTGAGACTATTATCCTCTGGTGGAAAAACACGAGAGGGTGATTCAGCTAACACTATTGCATGGAGTTGGGGAGAATCCAGGTCCCCATGGAATACAAACAAATCATTGTTTTCAGGAAGCCAACAGGGAGACTTATTGAGGGAGGATCAGATGATGGCAATCAATAGATTTATTTCTCTGTTTTTTCTGTAATGATCCCTAAATAAAATTTGATTTTAATGAAAAGTTACACGTTACTATTCATAAAATAAAAAGGAAAAAAAAAAAAAATGGCCGTCCTGCTAGAAGGAAGGTGCCATGCTATTTGGATGATTAATTCAAGAGATTAATTCATTAATTAATTTATTGGACCTTTCAAGCCCCCTTCATGAATGAAATTTTTTTATAGCATTTGTTGCTTTTTGTCTTGCAAGATCATATGACACGACCTCACCAATACCAGTATACGAAATAAGGGCATCTTTGGAAACTAGAAGCTGGGATTCCTTAAAAACTGGAAATTCTAGTTTCCTAGAAGCCTGAAATGTTGATATCTGAAAGTTTTGGAGGATAAAATATTTGGAAGTTCTTGAATATTAAGATCATGTGTCACATTTTCATTGATTGAGAGATTCGACTTCATGGTTTCAAGAGAGAGAGGGCATGGTTACGGAGAGGACTTAGAGAGAGAGAAGGCATGGTTATAGAGGACTTTGAGAGACACTTCGAGAGAAAAGCCACCTTTGTGCGAGAGAAAAAGGATTGGAAAGAGAAAGGTCATTGTTAGAGAGGACCTAGAGAGAGAAGGGTTACAATAGAGATACAAATGAGTTAAGAGAGAGAAATGGCATGATCAGAAAGAGGACTAGAGACGGATAGAAAAAGGACAGTATTGGTTGGACCTTTCATATTTTATGTTTATGAAAAAAAAAAAGTAATATTAATGTATCCGGTTACTTTATGTCTACTAGAAAAAAAAGAAACAACATTTGATGTAATCCTCTTTATACATCAAATAGCAATCAATTGTAAATCAGTCTGTATTGGTAAATCTATTTTGGGTAGACGATTTATATCAAACCCAATATTGTGGGGAAGTTTAACTAGCACGATATTTTATAGAGAAGCTCTTAATTATCACAATAATTTCATATTGTTAGGACAATATTGTAATAATATCTTCTTCCTAAATTATCAAAATTATTTTTTTAAGAATTTTATATTATCAGCTATAGTTGTCAGGGGATTTAGACGAAGAAAACCATTGCAACGCCACTTGGCAGTAGAAAATGAATTGTACAGCAAACTGGATCTTTATTTGCTTAATGCCCCAGGTGCTTTAAATGGGGTTTTGCTACGTGCTAACTATGATAACGCGTTTGGCCGCGTGATACGATATAGTTGTTGGGTCATCTATTATGAATAAACTAAATAACTCAAAAGACATTCTACTCCCTCGGCTGGGGTAGAGTGTTCATATATTATCTCATGTGAAATCTTGCATAGAACAAATTTTAGGATCTTAAATTATGAGGATGTAATATTTTCAACTTATATATTGATCTCCATGAAAAATTATATATTAATCTCCATGAAAAAAAAATATTCCCCTAACTACATGCTTTATGCACTTTAGAAAAAGGAAAAGTTTGTATACAGTTGAGGCTCTAAACAATAAAATTCAAGCTTGCCTCAAAACTTTCAGTAAGAGAGGTTGTTTTCATGCCCAAATATCCTCAAATTGATCATCTCGCCATCAAAATTCATGGACATGACAAAAAAGTAGATTTCAAGTTTTGAAAATAGTATATTTTGTATCGTATTTTTTTATCATCAATTTTCAAGATTTTCATGTTTTCATAGATCTCTCGATCTATACTATTTATTAAGCTTTAAATTTTATAAATAAAAGTAAAAATATATTTTAAGGTTATCAAAAAGATTTCCAATATTGCAACCACATTTTTCGGCACTATTTGAAGATAAGCTCTAATTTGATTGTTTAGAGCCTAGGCTCTATACAGACTGCACCCTTAAAAAAATAATGTTTTAAGATTAAATAAAGATCATCTAAGTATGATGAGATCTATGTATAAATAAAATAAAATTTTAAAATTTTTTTAAGAATAATTATCTAATAATTCTTAAATAGTTTTAAAATTTTCAAATTGAAAAAACCTCCCCATAGGTCTCTCTGACGGGGGAGTAGAAGTCAGTTACGGTTCCTAGAATCATGGCATGCGTGCTCAATGAATAAAATAAATCGAAGGCGAAGGTTCCTCGAGAAAATATTTGCGCATGTGATGGTTGTCAAGCAAAAGGATGCGTTTTAAACATTTCTCTCTATAAAATCACCGACCCCTTACTCCCTCTCTTCCATAACAAAAATTTACAGGTGCCATCTTTCATCTCTGATAAATTTCCTTGTGAGTCTCTTGTTCAGGTGTAATGGCGGTGCATAAAGAAGAGCTGGACTATGTTTTGGTACCAATGGGCCTCTTTCTCATGGTGGCGTATCAAGCCTGGCTTTTCTATCGCGTTATGAAGCACCCAAACACAACTGTTATGGGCATCAACTCCGCGAATAGACTCATCTGGGCTCGCACCATGATGCAGGTAACCAGCCCATCAAACCTCTCTCTCTCTC